TCTATTTTCTTTTTTAGCCATTCTCTTGTAGATTTGCCGCTGTGCTTGGATCATTGTCCCGTTGCATGACCCAATTTCACCCAACCTTTGGCTGCGTGACAGACGGTCTCACATTTGACTCGAGAATACTTTGGCAGGAGTTCACGGTTGACTCAGTGACTACAAAGTGCCCAGGTGCTGTGGCTGCACAACAAACCCAAACCATCACCCTTCCACCGCCGTGCTTGACATTTGGTATGAGGTGTTTTCACTGATACATGTGGTGCTTTTCACTGTGGGCAGACTTCTCCACTATAATCTTCTCGGTGCAAAGGGCATTGTTCCAGATCCAGAAGTGTTGTGCTGCCATTTTCAGAGAAAAGACTTTCTCCCTTTAATCCTTCCGAACAAGCCACACTTGTTAAGTCTTTTTTATTTTATTTTTTTTAACTTGCACTGTCATGAACTTTAACATTTACCATGCTACATGAGGCCTTTAGAGTCTCACTGCATGTAGCTCTTGGGTTTTTTGCGGCTTCTCTAAGCGTTTCACAGTCTGCCATTGGGGGAAATTTGCTGGGACGTCCACTCCAGGGAACGACTATCAGGCAGCTATCTCGACTGTTTTCGACTTGTGAATAATCTTTCTTACTGCAGAATTTTGGACTTTGGAAAATTATGTTACAACCCTTCCCAGATTGTTACTACTGTTACACATGTGGCCACACCTGCTGATGATCAGTTGATCAAGTACATCTAATTATAAGGGATAGCTCAGTAGGTAGAGTGCTGGCCCCATGATCGGAAGGTCGGGGGTTCGATTCCCCTGAACAGCTACCCTGAGGTACCCCTGAGCAAGGTACCTTCCCTACCCACTGCTCCACTGAGTGAATGGATTAAATGCAGAGAGGAATTTCCCCACGGGGATCAATAAAGTACACTTTCTTTCTTAATTATGAGCACCTTTGAGACTACTTTCCCTATTAATTCCTGTTTATTAGGCAAAGTACAAAATATCGTACCTATTTCATATCACTGTCCTGAGCTGAAGTATGTGGGTGTCACAGTCTCTTTGTCTTGTATACGCCACACAGATTCCACTCTGCGATTCTGTAACAAAAAACTCTGTAACAAGTTTAAATATTTCAGGGAGTGAAATGAAAACAACTGTTAGTGTTTTCCTCTGTGTTCTCTTGCTGTGACATGTCAATATGTGCTCTGTGATAAAGATGTGTTTACTGAGGTTTCATTAAATTAAAACTGAATGCAGCTTTCTAATTTTTACAGAAGTTAAGTGGCTTAAAAGTCGCTGATATTAGCTGACAAAATATATATTTGTTACCTAATAATCCTGCTTGTTTCCTTTTTTCAGATGTTGATTCTTCAGTGGCAGTTTCAGGGTGGTTGCTAGCCATCTGTCGAGACTAACATGGAACGAGAGGGCTCATTTAGAAGGTAAGCATACACACACACACACACA